GATTATTGTGATTTTTGTAGTCATTCTGTAGCTTGTACTTAAATGTCCATTGTTTGCTCTTTTCAAGTTCTTCTGGCAATACTGCTGTGCAGCTGAAATTGTATTGGGCTGTAGAATAGCTGATAAAAAAATCCTAAAGAATGTGTTTACTATATGACCGCATAATGTTGCATGCATTAAGCATGTTGTTGTTTATATAAACTTGCTGCATGTGGACAGTACTTGTTTGATATGGAGAACCTGAGACAGAAGCTTCACAGATTGGAATGCTCAATGACAGCCGAATGCAATTAAATAAAAGACCATAAGATACTGTATTTTGCACTAAAATGACTTTTGAAAACAATGGATTTGTACTTTTAAGGGGAACACTTGTATAAGAGTAGCATTTTTGAAACAACACTATCTTAAGTGTTTCATATCTATAATACATTTTCTTTAAATAGAAGCTTTGTGAATAAGGAGTGGTTAATTCAGTTAACTCTCTGAAAACATCACAGTATATATTTCAATTTTAAAATAGTTGTGATAAGTAATCCATGTACATTTAGTGCAGATCTGTTAATCCTATTAATTTAGTGCTAAAATGTACCCAAACAGTATAAAAGAAAACAACTTAGATCAGTAAAAAAGGAACTACCAAATATCTTATGGAAGAGGTGTTACATAGGTTTGTTTCTTTTAATTGTCACTAACAAAGATTAAACTCAATGGAACAGAAGCATGCCGTTTTCTTCTGAGTTCTGAACAACGTGCACAGACTCATTTAGGCAGAGGAGGTTTTTGTAAATCTTTATTTGTTTTATGAAGAAGTAATGTGTGGGTAAAAGTAGGCTTTTTGTGTGATAAATGCTTTGCCTGGTTGATGATACTCCTTTAAGGGTAGAAAATGAGAAATGCAGTACTCTTTTTCTTGCAAATAAATACTTACATATTTTATTTGTAATCTTTGGGGAAGATTTTTTTTATATTTCACACTTGCCATGGAGAAATGGTCATGGTTGCTGGATTTCAGGTGGATTTCAGAAGTTTCACTTTTATTGAGGTCAGCTAGAGACTAGATCTCTGACTTGTCTACATTAAGTAACTTACTCTAAATTACTTGATTAAATTTCCTATTTTTATGGATTTATTTTTGTTTGTTTTAGAAGACACTCTGCAACATCTAGCATTAATTTGTTGTGATAATCTATCGCTGACAGTTGTTTAAAGGGAACTCTTTTTTCCTATCCCTCTGATTTCAGAAAGAGTACATTTTTAAAAAGGAGTAAGATTTAACGTTTTTTTGTTTTGTTTTGTTTTGTTTTGTTTTGTTTTGTTTTGTTTTGCATCCGCCATATTTATCATACCTATTGGAATCTGTGGTGGAAGTGAGCTTACAGAACTAATTTCACACTCTGAGCTCAGCTCAGTGCAGCTCTGGCAGCTGCAGGGAGTGGAGGGTGTCTGAAACGGTGCTAGTTTCCTCAATGGACTTCAGCTGGAAGTAATGGGATACTGTGCATTAGCAGGCTGTCTTGTAGCACACAAAGGTTGAGGTCTCCGTCTTATCCCCACCTCCTCCCTCCACTTGAATTGTCAGCATCTTCCAAAAGCTGGTGAATAAATCCTGCTAAACTTCGGGAAAAGCTTAACAGATAACTCAGTCGATTCCCTTCCCCTGCCCCCCAAAAGTTAATTACCGAGCTTGGTTGGATTCCTCCCTGCCACCCTGACATTTGACTGCTGCTAATTCACTGATTAATCTCATTAATGTGATTATAGCAGGATTTGGAGTTGGCTGCCATTGTTCTGCAGACAGCGCTATTCAGCCCCAGCCCTCGCCTCCCCCCTCGGCGCGTCGGTGCAGTTCCTTCAGCACCGGGAGCTGTCCGGCTCACCGGGAGCTGTCCGCTCACCGGGAGCTGTCCGGCTCACCCGGAGCTGTCCGGCTCACCCGGAGCTGTCCGCTCACCCGGAGCTGTCCGGCTCACCGGGAGCTGTCCGGCTCACCGGGAGCTGTCCGCTCACCGGGAGCTGTCTGCGTTCACCAGCCCCGTGCCCAGCGACTGCTCCCGGAGGTAAAGGCTGGAGAGGCTTCATGCTTTCTAATTAGGTGGTGGGAAGATGGCTCTGGTAAAGCGCAGGCTCTTAATTTTGAGCGCATTTTAATTCTTCCTCTCTTCCAAGAGCTGTCTTCGTCTGCATTCTGGTTTTTTTCTGGGATCGATCCATAGGGCAGTGGAGTTTAAACAACACTTCCTTGCAGCAGTGCAATTTAACTCTCAGAAGGTGAGGGACATTGCAGGTGTTGTCATACTTAGCCAGACTTTTTTGTTCTAGTAAAAGGTGCTGTGTTGAGCTAAATGCTTTCATTTATCTGTTTGGGTTAGTGTTTGTGGGGTTTTTTTTGTTTGTTTTTTGCTTTTTGTTTTTTTGTTTGGTTTTTTTTTTTGGCAAAACCTCCCAGCATACTCCAGCTCCAGCTCATCACCTCAAAAATTACGTTTGCCTCACCAACACTATTGTGCCCAGGGTCTTTCCTGCAACTGCTCTGCAACTGCCCATTTTCCGGAGTTTGACAATAGGAAGCATTTTATTGATTTAAAATTGATCTGGAAGATCTTTTTAAGGTCTCATTATACATCTAAATGACTTTTGCAATCTTCAGTTGCAAGACTATTTTTTATTCAAGTTCGCAGGTTAGACAGATTTAAATGAGACTAGGAATAACTTCTTTAAAGTCAGTCACTTTATGTAGCACTGGAGTTCTGCCCTGTTTGGTATATTTACTTTTATTATCTAGAAGATACATTGTTATCATTTAATAACAGCCAATTGCACATGCGCAGTAACTTTTTTTTAACCATCTTCTCTTTAATTTGTATTCTTTATGAACATGACCCTGTACTGGAAAAACTGAAGCCACACATTAAACTCTAGTGTGTGAAGGATTTGCCAGGACAAGAAGCGAAATCCAGGAAACCAATAAATACAAAATACTTTTAAGAGAAAGTGTCCTGCTGAAATAAGGGTGGGATCTGTTAAAGAACACACTGCATTTTGAAGTATTTGAGTGTAGTAAATGTCAGTGTAATATCTGCAGCCATTGCAGTCTATGGATAAGTAGCAATTTACGTTCAAAACTGAGAAAGTGCACTTAACCCAAAAAAGTCTGTTGCTATTTTCTGCTATGACTTTCAAATAGTTTTTCAGTCACTGACACTATATTATTAATAGGGTTTCCTGTTTTTTTTTTAATTTCCTTTTCTCCTCATTTCTTTTTCACCCAAAATCAAAAGCCCAGCGAGTAAAGTATTGTCTCCTTAACTGCTTTAGAGAACTATACGTTTAAAGGATGTATAAAATAGCATTGCATAGGAACAGGTTTTAACAGTGACAGCCACAATATGCAAGCCAATTAAGGCTGCTCGTTAGCGGGTATATTCTTGTAATACTCCTGTCAAGCTGAAATTGTACTCCCTTATTGACAGTAGTGGGTTCGTCTGATGCTTGAATTCTGTTTTCTGTGTTTGTTTAATGTTTCAAGACTCACTAGAAACTGCAACTAGTCAGAAAGTAAAAGAAATGGAAGGTTTTCAAGCATAATTTACCTGAAGTTTGCTAACCTGGCCAACTTAACCTGCAGGAAAAATACTGTGCTCTCATTAACGCTGCTTAAACATGACCTGCATCTCCTTTTCCCCATGGATAATGCACACTGACGAGACACAGGCTGGGGGAGGGAGAATCCAACCCACAATATTAAACCCATAGCCTAATATCTTATGGAGGATAATTAGGCCAATGAATAACCAGTCTCCCAAATTTCTTTCCAGATTGGGTTTTTTTTTTGTAAATGCTTCTAATTTATGCAGTGGCCTCCCTCAGCCCCCTTAACACTCACCACTACAAGATTTATATACATTTTGTCCTGATTAGAGAAAATACTGATTTTGTCTTTAGTGGGAGAAGCACTGGGCCTTTTCTTTGTGTCACCACAAAGGCTGGACAAGATGATGAGGGTTTTTTTCCCAGATAAATCACCTTCCAAAAGTTTGACAACACCTGCCGTAATACATGTACCACATAGTTGCCTTCACTATCCTATTAAGACTAGCTAGGATCTATCATAAGCAAGCTAGCTCTAGCAGAGGGAGAAGACAAGCCTTGATTTTTCAAACACAAATACCATTATCCAAAGGTTCTACATGTAAACTTGACGTTAGAAAATGCTGAGATTCATTTGTAGGGCTGTAGATACCCTATACACTTACAGGGGGGGCCTTTAAATCACCACGTGAGCATTTGTGCTTCTCAGGCTACGTTGAGTTGTGTGGAAAAAACCCAAACTGACATGCCCTTGCTACGACACAAACATGGTAGCTCTCTCTCCCTCCCTCCCTCCCCGCTACGAGGAGGCTTTTCTCCCGGCAGACCGGCTCCCCCCTCCCGCCCCCGCCCTGCGCGGTGCCCTCCGCTCTCCCCGCCCGCACCTGCGGCCCGGCCGCTCCCGAGGGCTCCGCGCCTCCGTCTCGGGGGAGCCCTGCGAGTGCAGGGAGATGTAATCAGAGATGACAGAGAAAAATTAAAGAAAAAAAAAAACAAAACCAAACAAAAACCCCAAACCACGAGCGAGGTGGAGATGGCGGGAGGCGGGGGGGGGGGGGGGGGGGGGGGGGGCGGGAGAAGAGACACGTAAGTCCCTTTTTTTTTTCTTTGCTTTTTGAGGGAAACACTGCGTTTTCCACCAAAAGCGTGGATGTCGTGAGGACTCTGCTATTGTTAGTCCCTGCCCCAGCAGGCTGGCTTTCCTCTGAATCTCTGTGAAAAATGTCCGTCCCCCCCCGCCCTCCAAGCCCCTCTCCTGCCATCGGAGCGCGGCCGTGGAGCTGCTCTGACGGCTCAGGGTGTGAAGGGCTGGTACGCGGAGACTCCATCCCTTCAGACCGCAGTATGGTGCCCGGCAAGGCTGGGTGGGAGGGAATGGCAACCTCTACAGTAACCGACATGTCTGCTGTTCACACGTCAGGCAGAGCAGGCTCGGGAGGGATTACCTCCCAGGGCTTGAGGAGGGTGTTCCTCGTGACTTTTGGGTCAGTCTCCCCCGCTTCTGTGGCGGCCAGCAGGGGCTGCCCGCAGTGCCCTGCCAGCCGCGGGGCTGCCCGCACCGAGCACCGCGGAGCAGGGCGAGCCGCGGCGGGGAGGGAGGGAAGAAGAGAGGGAGGGGTGCGGGGAGGAGGGGGCTGCAGCAGCACAATGGCAACGAGGAGGGCAACGAGACCGGCAGGCGCGCGTGTGTAGGGAGGGCGTGTAGGCTGTATGCGTGCGCTAGCCAGGGTCCTTCCCGTGCGGAACAGCCTGCCTGCGGGGATGGACGCGCAGGGCGGGCGGGACCCGGCAGGAGGCGCGGCGGTGCCCGGGGCAGGGGCAGGGACACGACAGGGCTGAGTCCGCGGGGGCGTGCGGAGTCGTGCCAAGGCGGGGGGGGGGGGCGCCGCCTCCGCGTAAAGATCACAGCCTGTCACGCTGCTACCGAAATGACATTTCGGGGACGGGTTTAAACGAAGCGACTCCCCGCTGTCAAGCCGCTCCCGTCGCAGGGACATCCGGCAGCCCGGGGGCGAGCCCTTTAGGGACGCTGCCGTCGGGCGGGCGAGCGCCGGAGAAAAGCCTCTGCACAGCTGTGGAAGGCGGTGAGGTGCCTCTTCCCAGTCATTGTCTTTGTGACACGTTTAGTGAAGCGGTCCCTGGCCAAGCGCAGGCAGCGAGAGCCACAGAATCCACGTCAAATTGCTGGGGAAACGCTGTTAAGGGTTTGTACATGCAAAGCTGGCCCTTTATGCGTACGAGCCCTGGTTTCTGTTTGGGGTCTTGATCACATAAAGTTGAGCCGCGCAAGTTGCTAATGGTGTAAGGCTGCTATAATATTTTCTTCTGTAAATAGTTAATTTCTTTTGTTTCAAAGGGGAGAAGATGATGTGAACAGGTAATAAAAGCAAAGCTTCAGCAGAATTAACTCTAGAAACCCTGGTGAGGTACCCCAGCAGAAAAACGACGTTTTCGATCATTATTTTTAAAAAATATACGTTTAGAAGCCTAATTGTTTGGACTTCTTTCTTTCTTTTTTTCTTTTCTTTTTTTTTTTTTTTTTTGGAGGTGGAGGGGGGGAAGGACTGGAGGGGAGTTCTCTATCGGAGACACCATTTTACGCCAGCACAGCGGCAGGGAAGTATTTTTAGCGGTCTCCCCTCCCGGGCGGCTGCGGCGTTCCCCTCCATTGGGTGGAACAGAGCGCCGGCGCGGCGCCCCCCGCCGCCGGGGAGCCCGGCCGGGAGCGCGGCCCCAGCCCTGCCCGCCTCCCGCCGCGCCGCGGGGGCCGGGCCTGCGCGGCCGCGCCGGGCACTGCACCGCGCCGCGGGGCCGGCGGGATGGATGCGCGCCGCGCTGCTTAAAGGATGCGGGCTCAGGCGGGGTAAGTCAGCAATCTGCTACGGATGCTGTTCTGCTGCAGTAATGTGGTCTCTAGGGGAACTAGGGCTTGATGCATGCTACGCTGCCTAGGCTTCCTCCAACCCGTCGCCTCTCTGCTGCTCTTAAATGGAGGTTACAGCTGATCCATCAGCCACAGAGCTGCACGCATGCCCACCTTCTCAGCCTTCAGTGGTGGAAACTTATTAATTTCTGCCTTCGACTTCAGGCCCGTTGGTTTCCTGTCTGAAAGCATTATTACTTTTGTCCATGTGGCAAAATAATTAGCATACAGATGAGAAGGGATCCTGCCTCTGAGCCTCAGTCGCAGGAGAAGATGTGCAGTGGAAAGTTGATTGGATGAATGGAGAACAAATGGTGGGCGTTCAAAAGCATTAGGAGAGTTTTGTTGTCGTGGAGCAGGTTTGTCAGTTTTCTGGGTGAATCTCGTAAGATGGAAGGCAGGGTGGCTGGTGCCGAGACGACTGCTTGACAGACTGTGGCCTACTTGAAGGTGCACGTTTGGACTGCATGCATAGATAATTCCTTTGGACTACTTTGTTTTGCAATTCTTCGGCTTTCCCTTTCCTGTTCCCTCAAGGTAAATATGTCCTTTTATCACCGTTGTTGTTTGCAGGGTACTTTGCTGTTGTTGACAAAGTGATGGAAAGTTCTACTCTTTGGGCAGTTAACAAAGGAATAGCTTCCACTTCTCCCACCCCAGCTCCACAACACATACTCCTGTGCATGGAGCTGGAGGAGGCTGAGCAGCTCGGGGCCCGATCCTGCTCTCCCTGAAGTCAACGGGGAGTTTGACATTGCTTCCAGTGAGAACAGGATCGAGCTCTCAGTGATTGTTGTTTTAATAACGACTGCTGGAGATGTCAGATTTCTGCTTCCTATTTTCTAGAACAATGTGGGCAGACCTGTAAAATTAGCAAGTACTGTTTCAATGAAAGCCCTGCTGTGATTAGTTTTGATTGGTGTGGTATGCATTTTCTTGGTTGAAAGGAAAAAAATGCTTATTTAACACAAACTCGCCAGTAATGCTAAAGCCCAAGTTGCAGATTGACAAATTGCTAGTGATTCTCTCAGCTATATATCTCCGCTACATATGTGTCCTTATAAAGGCTTGTTTTTTGAGAGAAGAAAACAAAAGAAAAAAATAAACAAGCTATGTGTGAATTAGGTATTTTTTTGTCAGATAATAATACTGAGTCAGACTGGAATCCCACTTCTCGAACAGAGCATCCATTGATAGGCATTTCTTATATAATTCGGATGCTGTGTATAAAATATGGGGTACTTGAACATTTAGTTACATTTGCTTTTCTTTTCGTATAGTCATTTAGGAATATTTTTGTTCAATCCTAAAGATTCCTAATCTCCTTAAAAATGGTGATTTTCATTTTAACTGACCTAATTTTGAAACTGCATTTATGGTTGGGGTTAAGTAGAAATTATTATCTGGTAATTGTCTTTACATAGTTCTTGTGACTATTGTAGAACAGTTTAATAGATTATTTGCTTTAATTTGAGTGGTGTGGAGATTTTATTACCTTTGATTATATTGTTGGGGAGAACAACAGCTACAGTTCCAAATGATGTTTAGTTTTTACCTTTCTCTCCTTTTTTTTTTTTAATTGCCGTTTCAATTCGGTGTGATAGTTTATTTTCAAAAATTGCCAAACAAATAAAAGTCTTTGTCATGTCACTCTGCAAACAAAAAAGCCCCCTAAATATTGGAACAAACTGTTAACCCTTGCTGGGCAGTTAGCAGGTACCCCATATGGTTTATTAAGGTTGATCAAGTTTGGAATGGTAAGGTTAAGCTTGGTTGCTGTAGTGTCATCTGATGACTATAAATTTATATTTGTTTGCAATATGACACATTTAAAAACAATTAAGATGGCAACATAACACTTTGAACATTAGAAACACAGAGTGATGCAAGACTATGTAAAAACCCAGCATCTTTCCAAGTAACTATATTTTTCTAAAAACTACATTGATTTATAAAGTGAAACAAAGAGAAGAGTAAATTATTACAATGAGTAAATGTAGAATTAGGTATATTTTAATCTGGTCTTAATGATAGTTTCAATTCTATATATGTATGTATTTTACAGCTTAAACTTTTTGGAGAGTGAATGCTCTTCCTCCCCCTTTCCCCCCTTCTCTCCCCCCATTTTCACCAACAAGGGCAATAGTTAAATGCTAAACATTTGCAGCGGTTTCTTTGTTTTAGATTCAAATACCCAGTTATATGCCCACAGTTTCAAAAAAGGGCATCAGTTTTATTGTAGTAGTTCTTGGTTCATAGTATGACTTTGTTGTTTTAGTCTACAGTCTTGGATGTTACATATTATAAAATTGAGCAACTGTGTTTGGAGACAAAGACAATTAAGAAAGAAGAGGAGCTACTTAAGTATAATCAGAGATAAATGATTTCTCCAGATTTGTTAAGCACTGTTTTTGAGGGTTTCTGTTTTACCTGTTCTCTTTTATTTTGTTTAATTTTTGAGCTGAGGAGATGAGTAAGATATGCAAAGGAATATTTTGATTATATACACATACATGCTACACATATATGGCAGACTATTAGCAAGGCATAGAAACTTTGCTATATGAATGGCAGAAAAGGACTGTTTTGAAAACTGTTCTGTTCTGGTCAGGCTTTTATACAGACTCTAAAAGAACAAAAATATAATTCCCATCCATTAGCATTTCCATGGGAAATGATCACGGGTATTTCTTTCTAAGTGCATTGCACAAGCACATTTATAAAACAAAGTTGTCTGTGTTACAATTATTTCTTGATCAACTTTGAGAATAGTCATTGTTTTGTTGAGAGAGTCAATGGTGGAAAAGTACTTCGATATTAAATAGGTATACAGCACTGAATATCCTCATAGAAATACTGAGTTTAATATCACTTTGTCTGAGCTTGATAAATGTTTGCATCATGTTGATCAACTTTCAGTAAAAATGTGAAGTTCTTGTTATAGTATAGTACCAGAAAACTTTATGGCTGTGGATTACTTACTGACCTTTTCTTTCTCGTAATAGGAGTGATGAGAAATGCTAATAAGATTATCGATGGTGTTTTAAACAGGAGTGCAGCCAGATTTCTATGGAGTAAAATTGAGTGCAGACCAAATAGCATCATCTTCTCCACATATCCTAGATTAAAAAGTCACAAGGAGAACAAATCAAAGCTTTTGTAGCTTGTTGACAAAGATTATCTCTTTAGAATCCTTCACAGTATTTTGCTTTGATTAGAATCACTCTGCCTATATTAGCCATAGAGAAAAAAGCAGCAAAATGTAATGAAACTGAAGTGAAGGGGAAACGTCTTGTATGAGGAGGGGGAGTTGAATGTGGAGACTGACAAAAATCGCAATAGGATTTTTGATCCCTTAAAAGGGATCATACTTCTAGTCATGAAAACAGTAAACATTATTATTAGATCGGATTTAAAATCTGATCTCGGATCAGATTTTCAGTTTGTATATACTAGTTCAGCATGTTTGCACTGAAGCTGCAGATGTGGAACAGAGTCACCAAGTAAGGAAGCTGGCCAGCTTGGTTGTGGAAATAACCAGGGCTGCAGGGTGCCCCAGAGAGAACCATCAAATCAGGTCAGTATAGAACTGTCTGGTAGGTTGTAAACAATAGGAAATCAATGTTGTGTCTGCCAGTAGACCCTTTGGTTTGCTGAAACTCCCACCCGCCTAATGCATCTGGGCAGTTGGTTTCAGAAACCAGTTTCCTTCAGGATAAATTTTGCATTTCTTGAAAGTCTATCATAACCAAATTGATTATAGTTCTGCACCAGGCAAATGCATAAACATCTGTAAGGTGACAGATTCCCAACCAAACCAGCACTGGGGTCTGTTATTTAGTGAAGTATTAAAGGTTTGTATTTCTTATACCTTAGTGTCTTCATGGCATTTTTTTATCAGGAAGTTGATTGAAAAGGGCATGATATACAACAAATATATGTTCACTTGGTATGGCTTCAGCTGGTTCAGTCTGAATCTGGCAAGTGCTGTCCCTTGCTTGGTGCTGTAGTGAAGAGAATTAGGGCAAAGCAGCAATTTAAGAAAAAACATTTTTGTGAGGAGTTTTAGAAAGG